GGCCCATGGGCACACAGCACTGAACGGGCAGGCTGAGTGAGCTCTGTCGGGTGTGGGCAGAGGTCTAAGGACTAGGCAATGAGGCAGGTCCATGGGCACACAGCACTGAACGGGCAGGCTCCTGAATCCACACCTCCACCGCTTCAGAGGCCTCAGCTCCTCAGTCCACAGTAACCCCAGCAGCTGAGCCAGTCCATGATCCATCTCACAGAAGAGGCGTTGAGATGTCTGCAGAAATGAATGAGCCTGACCAAGGTCACAGGCCAAGGGAGAGGCAGACTGGGACTGCAGGAAAACGCTCCAGGTCATGAGAAGTCCCTGCCCACTGAAAACCAGTGATGCGCACGTTTCTAGTGTCTCTTCCCAGAAAGCTGCTGATCCTCAAACACTCTGCGTTTCAATGATGGCTTTTCTGCACTGAAATGGAAGGTAATGTCTTATATCTGCCTCCTGATAGGATTTGCCGATTACTCAACTTTTTATACATCCCGAATTCCATATTCAGGGGAAAAAGGGAAATGAAACGATGATTTAAAAATCCCAGCCTGGAATCTGTGCTGCCAGACCACAGAGAATAGTTATAATTTGTCCTGTTTTCTTAGGCAGTCACTTGAAAGACACGCTTTTGAAGATCCCTCTCTCCTACTTTCATGTGAATGCTGACGTCCCAAGAACGGATAAAACAAGAGTTCTGACAAATGTGAGTTTGTGCGTCATCCAAGACCAAAGGCCTAACTGCTAATGAGTGTCCTGTGAAGCAGAGTTTCACGGTCATTTCCTGGGCGATGGCTCTGAGTGTTCCTGCCCTGGGCTTCCACATGTTAGTCCCCTGCAGTCACAGAGGTGGCGAATGCTGGATTTCCATCTCCGGCAGGACAGTGAACAAATCAGAAGGCCGTCCCTACAAGTCGCTGGACTGCACGGTTCTTCAAAGCCTCACAGCGTGCGGTAATTTCCACAACACAACCAAGTCCACCTCAATTCAGCTCAAGATCAGTCTCACCCTCTCCAGGTGAGTCTCCAGGGAAGATTCAAGTCAGACATGCATCCACGACAAAAATTAATTTTCATCTGGCTTTTGCAAAGGCTTACTCAGGCTGTGTATGAATTTCAAAACCAACAACGCATAAAATAAAATAAATGGTTCCAACAATGGATAACACAGAAAACCTACACAGATTTCAAACCGGAAGACAGCAACAGGCTGTGTCATTACACACATCAGCGTTCAAAATGGTTCCAGCACAAGGACACGCATGAACCATCACAATAACTCATCTCTCCTATCCCAGCGCCAGGACACGCATGGACCATCTCTACCAATAATAATTCATCTCTCCTGTCCCAGCACCGGGACACGCATGGACCATCACTACCAATAATTCATCTCTCCTATCCCAGCGCCGGGACACGCATGGACCATCTCTACCAATAATAACTCATCTCTCCTGTCCCAGCGCCGGGACACGCATGGACCATCTCTACCAATAATAATTCATCTCTCCTGTCCCAGCACCGGGACACGCATGGACCATCACTACCAATAATTCATCTCTCCTATCCCAGTGCCGGGACACGCATGGACCATCTCTACCAATAATAATTCATCTCTCCTATCCCAGCGCCGGGACACGCATGGACCATC